CAATTTTGGGGCCTTGAAGCAATTTTTCCTTTATATAATCAAATAATTAAATAGACTATTTTCATATGAGATTTACAAAACAACTTAATACATAAAATCATAAATAAATAGAGGAACTAAGACAACAATTATGATTAGAAAAATATAAACTAATGAGTAAAAAATAATATATTTGGTCACAACTGTTGGATTTTTTGGTCAAAACCGCTTTCCAAAATGAGTTTTTAAACTATATATATATTAACTACAAGTATTTTTCATAAATGCTTAGTAGCCTAGTGGAAAGTTAATATTTTTGTGTTTCAAAAGGTCCCTTGTTCGAGGCTTGCCAACGACAAGCCGAGAAGTGTTTTATTTGAATTAATTCCTCATAAGTTCTAGCGGGCCGGGGATCGGGGCTAATCGGGCTGAGGCGCTAAGTGGCGCTTTGTTAGGTGCACGAGGTTCGTTTGTCAAACGAGGTTCGTTTGATTTGCTGAGACGTCACCCTCGTATATCGTAACAATGTGTCCATTGATTGCCTCGTACTCAGGAGTTACTGCATGCAGCAGTTACAACAGCATTTATAGTAATTTAATGCATTGATGTTACAATCTTAATTGTCATTGAGAATTGTAACAGTCACATTAATTGCGAGTGACTCTTGAGCTGGCCTTAGAGGCCTATAAATATCGTCCTTGGGCAGCTCATGAACACACTCTCGCGAGCGTGAAATACGAACGTTGGTATATACACGCGAGCTTGGAAAACGAACGTTGGATCGACGTTGTTGTTGCTATTGTGTTGTTGCTGCAGAAAATGTGCCCGCGGGAACTTGCCCTTAAACCGAAAGGTCGGTTCTGAGATCGAGGAGATCTTTACATTGACCGAAAGGTCCTATAGATCGAGGAGATCTTGACAGTACTAGGTTGGTGCACACCAGAGTATTGTACTGCTGTTCCTAGAAGCAGTTTGGCCTTGGGATCCTTATACCGGAGTAGGCCAAATATTGCTTTAAGCACAACGTTTCTCAAACACACAGCAGTTAACTTGATAAAGGTTAAAATTACAGCACATCATCCTTCACTGTTTAATTACAGATTTAACCATAATTTCCAACAATAACAAATTAAAATAAGAGACTGAAAAGCAGAAAACATTATATCTTTAGGGTTTAAAGAATACACCGCCGGTTGTCTTTAAAAGAAATGTGAACTTTCAGATTTGGGGAAATGTTAGGAGAGATTGGCTGAATTTGCATTTAATGGAGAAAAAAAATCCCAAAATGAGCGTATAAAGACAAAAGAAGTTTAGTGGTGAATGTAGGCGTCAAAAATTACCTATAGGTCCCCGAATACAGCTCGAGACAAAGAGAAGGCGATGAACGTCATTATCCAATTCGAAAAGGATTATCCGAGTCAAAGAGGATTATCCGACACCGACAAGCGCATGAAGCGAATCGGCGAACCGTTGATGACGCGGCAACGAACCACCACAATGACAAACGCCAAGTGGCCGACACGCTCGTCAGCCACCAGAATGACAAACCAAACGTCCCGTGCGCTTAAACCACCCTCATGTGGCCCGCGCGCTTGTCAGTCAACATACGCACGTCAGTCAAGCGATCCGCGCGAGGAAACGTACAAGTTAACGAAACGACGAAATACTCATAAACGACGCGTACAAGTCAACAAGACGACCAAATACGCAAAACGGTGGAAAATATAAGTCCCGAAAAAGTCAAAAAAACACCAAAAAAGTTTAGCGAAAAGCCAAACTTCCCGTGCCCGCGCGGGTCGGACGAATCCAACCCGCACCCGCGCGGGTCGGATGAATCCGACCCGCGGGGGGGGGGGGGCGGATTCAACCGACCCGCGCCCCCCGTGGGTCG